AGAGGTGCTGCCGGCATCCGCGGTCCCGGCGGTGACGGAGTGGCTTCAAGAGCTCCAGTCCCAGCAACAGCTTTTGGTGGAGCAACTGCACCAGGCCAAGGAAGCGTACAAAGCCCAGGCCGACCGCCACCGCCAGGTGGGGCCGGAACTCGCGTCGGTGACCTGGTTTGGCTCTCCACTCGCCACCTCCACCCCTCTCGACCTTCGCGGAAGTTGGACGCCCGCTCACCGGCCCGTTCCCTATCGTAGACCAAATCTCTCCTGTGGCATTCCGTCTCCGGTTACCCGCAACCCTGAAGGTTCACCCGGTCTTCCACAGGTCCCTTTTGAGTCCGGTGGCCCCACCCGACGAGTTCCACTCGGACCGTCCCCGACCGCAGCCAGTGTTGGTTCGGGAGAGCCTGAGTACGAGGTGGAACGCATCCTGGACTCCCGATACCGCAGGGGAAAGCTGCAGTATCTCATTGACTGGAAGGGGTACGGACCGGAGGACCGTTCCTGGGAACCAGCGGCCAATGTCCACGCACCTGCCTGCCTCCGAGAGTTCCATGCGACGTACCCCGGCAAGCCGGGTCCGGACCCTCGGTTGAGGGGGGGGGCCTGGGAGGGGGGATGGTGTGATGGCCTGGGATTCCGATTCGGAGGATGAAACAGAGGAATCCCAGCCTGCACAGGAGTCCCCGCCTCCAGGGCCGGCTGAACTGGGGCAAGGTCTAGATGCTGAAGAGCCTGCACCTGTGGCAGTGCATCAGGAGCTGGCCCCAGGTGAAGCCCTTCTGGCCCCAGAGGGGCTTGATGACTCAGTGGCCACAGGTGAGCCTCCTCCAGGGCCCAGTAACCCTTCGGCCTCTCCTGATCTGCAGAGGCTTAGGGCAGAGAGGCGAAGGGAACTGGTTGCCCCCAGGAGGAGTGCTCGCCTTAAGGCCAGAGGAGGCGGGGCTCCTGGGGACCGGGACCGCCCCTGGCCTTAGAAGAGGATAAAAGCCCAGTCAGCCCGGCCCCAGGTTGCGGGAGCAACGTCGTTGTTGGCTTCGGACCTTCCTGTGCTCCTGTTCCCTGCTCGGCTTCCTGTTCCTGACTATCCGGTACTCCTGTTCCCTGCTCGGCCTCCTGTTCCCGACCATCCGGTGTTCCTGTTTCCTGCACAGCCTCCTGTTCCAGCATTCCTGTTCCCCGCCCGGCTCTCTGCCTCGGACCTTGCCCCTCTTCGTGTGGACTCTGCTACACCCAAGGTACCTTACCCCCGGGACCAGCACAGGTACTGACTAAACATTAGGAAGGCGTTTCTGGTGGTAAGAGCTGTTCAGCAGGGGTACAGACTACCTCAGAAGGTGGTGTACCCTACTTCACTGGAGGTTTTTAAACAGAGGTTGGGTGGCCATCTGCCAGGGATTCTTTAGTTATGATTCCTGCATTGCAGGGAGTTGGACTAGTTGAAACTTGGGGTTTCTTCCACCTCTACAGTTCTGTGGTTTTAAGTGCCCAACAGGGTTCCTATTTTAATCTAAGGAATTCTGAGAGGATATGAAGCACAAAGTCTTTAAAAAAATAATAATAATGGTGTTAGCAAACATTATCCTGTATGGATGGATTTCTTGTATTCACATCGATGTTTATTCAAGGAAATTTATGTTTTGCTCTAAAGCAGAACGGTCCATTGCACGTTTTCCCCTGAGGAGATCAGGCTTGTGTCAGCAAGAGGTTGTTTGGAATTTATGTTGTCAGCTGTTCCTTGACAATTTTGCTCCCAGTCTTTGTTTTACCTCAGAAGGATTGGAGGTTATGTTTATAATAGATTTTGTTTTTCTTGAGTTCAGTTTAACACCCAAAAGGGCAGACATTTATCTGTGGACCTTATCTGAACTGTGCCTGCAAGTAACCTTTATTTAACAAGTTGCTGCCACAATATTCCATCAGCAATTGGCTCAAATGTTACTCAGCTCATGCAAGTGGATCATTCAAATGGGTCCAAGTATGTGGAGTTAATGACTGACTGCAACATGTGAATCACCCTCTGAAGCAGCTTTCTGCAACCCAGTGCCCTCCAATTGTTTTGGACTACAACAGTGTCATATGATGCTGGGGCTGATAGGAGTTATTTATTCCTTTAATAATAATGCTTAATAATGTTATCATTTATACTCCGCCCATCTGGCTGGTTTTCCCCAGCCACTCTGGGAAATAATGTACATGTATGTTTCTGAATCCTTCTACAATGCTGTAACTAACATCCAGATCCTGGTAAGCTGAATTTATCTCCCCTACTGCAGAATCACAGCTTTAATAAACATTGAAACAAAGCTATGTTCTGAGTGCCAAAGAGCATCACCCTTTCTAGCAGTTTTCAGCATTTGCTGCAAACGTAATTTTGATGCTACTCCATTTCCCTTTCTTCTTGCTCCCTCACTGTCTTTGGCCTCAAAAGCCCACACTGCTCTTTAATTCTATTGGCTGTGTGGTAGCCCACATGATTTTCCTGACAGCGCTATGATGCTTAAGAGATGATGTCACAAATACTTGTCAGGTGGGCTGCCAGAATCAACTGGCTCAAAAGGGGTGGGCATACGAGGTTGAACAGTGAGGAAGGGAGAGAGAAGGAAAATAGTACAAAGCAGAAGCAGGAACAAAAGGGCACCAGTGAACATTGAAGCATGAAATCCCCTCCCCCCCAATCGTTCATATGGTTTGGTGAAAACATCATGATTCAAAGGGTAGGCACCCAAATGCACAACCACCCCTCAAATTACAGAAGTCCCAATTCAAGGCAAGAACAGATGCCCTCTAAGAGGCCAATGTCACATCTTGCCCTCCCTGCCAGTTTCTTCCCTTTGCTGTGCTCACAGTCACACCCTGGGGAAGGAGTGGGGCTATCAGGCTGTGGAGGAGTCCAGCAAAGACAGGAAAGTTTCTTAGCATCATTTACCAAAAAGGATCACATGATCACCGGCAGGAAATGACTGTGCCTATAAAGTTGCCAGGTCAGGAGCATCCTAGATGCTGAGATTTCAGGATCTCAACCTGAGACCTAAGGGCAGGGTGATGTCACAGGGTGGGACCTATAAATGGAGGTTAATTGGGAGAGGAGGGCAGACTCTCCCAAGTGACTATGCTATAATTTGCAGCCAGCTCCTGCAAGGCCGATGCTTGCAAACTGCATACGTAGTTTTCTTAATACAGTGGTACCTCGGGTTAAGTACTTAATTCATTCTGGAGGTCTGTTCTTAACCTGAAACTGTTCTTAACCTGAAGCACCACTTTAGCTAAGGGGGCCTCCTGCTGCCGCCGTGCCGCCAGAGCACGATTTCTGTTCTTATCCTGAAGCAAAGTTCTTAACCTGAAGCACTATTTCTGGGTTAGCGGAGTATGTAACCTGAAGCGTATGTAACCTGAGGTACCACTGTAATATTTTTTTTTTTTAATGTTAAAGGCATTTTCACCCATCTGGAGATTCAAGCACTCCACCTGCCACCTAGAGGGAACCAAACAAACCTCAAGACTTCAGGTCAGACTTGGAGGTCTGGCATCCCTAGGTGCCTGTCATTTGCTGCCAAAGGTGTCTCAGAGTTTTGCTGTGAGTCCAGCGACTCACCACTGCTTGGATATCTTCCTTTGGATGTGGGGTTTCCAATCAGCTGGACCCCTCAAGCGTTCCTGCCAGATGTTCAGTGACCAGGGGGCACTCCTTGTGGTTCCCCTGCCCCATTATTCAACCAGAACATTCAGTTGATTTGGGGGGCAAGCTCTATGGTGCACACCCATTCCTAATTTGCCTGTGTTGAGAGTGCTTCTTTCAGAACAGAAATCAAAAGAAGAGAACATTCAGCACACCCTCCGTTTTCAAGGCACTGCTGCTGAATTTCTGCATTCCCACTTAATTCCCACAAGGTTTTGCTCAGAAGTGATTGTACAAAAATAAAAAAATAAAACCTACTAGCTACCCCTGTTTCGAATTGCACACCTCCAGATTTATTCTCTCCCCCCTCCCCAAGCAGCATTCGGTGCCTGAATGTGCTTTACTGTGTTAGGCTGCAGGCAAAGGGAGCAGCTTGAGTGCAGTGAACAATTGCTGTGAGTTGGGGAAATGTTGGTAACTTTAAGATGTAGTGGAAGGGAGGATGGACAGGTAATTGGACTTTGCCTAGACCTTATCTTACGGTACAACGCATATGCCTCCTGAATACTTATGCAGCATTTTCTCTGATAGCTGTAGGATCAGATGTAGCAGCAAAGGCAGCAAGCTATGGACATTCTAACACTTTGATTTTATTTCCTCAAAAAAATACTGTAAGAGATTGTACTACAAAGGAGATGGAAGTGTCAAAATGAATAGTGCTCCAGCTGTCCATCAGATCAGTAATTATGAATAATAGTTCCAGAGTGAATCAGAAGTTAAATGTAGCAAGGGCATAGTTTTGAATAAATCAGTGATCTTTGATTGACAGGAAAAGATTCCGACAGCTTGTTGCAAGAGAAACACTAGCTCTGATGTCTTCCTGAATATATATATATATATATATATATATATATATATATATATGGACCCACCATTTCTTCAATGATGACAGCTTAGCAAGCTGACAGCTTCATAACAAAGGTAGCTGTTGGTCCAAATATCTGTCATTGATATAAGCACATGAAAGTAAATGGGATTCTGCAGTCTCCTCTGTAAACTGTTTTACATGCAGGTTTAGCAGAAAACATTGAGAATTGGAATGTGGGCATCGAAATGATATTATTAATTATTGAAATACAAACAATAGCTAGATTTGGGCTTGTGACATTAGGAGGACACTCTCCCACATACAAATGTGCAAGTAGTTGAAAGTCTAAATCAGAGTACTGACTGATATATTGATATATTGTTGGGTCTGTGACCGTATACTAACATTTGTACATTTTGTATTTTGATTAACAACCAGCCACGCATTCAGAAGGAGCAATCAGCATTCCAATCTGTCTAGATGAACTATTAGATTAGGACGGGAGACAAATAAACTGCTGAATGCTCTACCCATAAATCAGTGCTAGGACATCTGCTTTGCATGCAGAAGGCGCCAGGTTCAACCCCTGGCATCTCCAGGTAGGGCTGGGAAAGAGTCATTTTCTGAAACCCTTGAGAAGTGCAACCAGTCACTGTAGATAGCGCTCAGCTATATAGACCAATGGTCTGACTCTGTCTAAGGCAGCTTCCTGTGAACTCATGCCCTTGAAACAGTGACAGCAGCTTCAAACCTCAGCAAGAAGTAGCAGTGGTAACTACTCTAACGAGGTACTCCCTCCCTCAGTTGTGCTTCTTGTTTTCAGGCAAGGGTTGCTCATCAGACTGAAAATTCTCAAGAGAATAGGGACAAAGAGGGAATTAGTTTGGTCCTCTTTTTGCAATAGGCCAACTCAATTCAATGGTCCCGAACATGTTTGCAAATCAGAACGCAACTCCCAATCAGACCAAAAGCTTCTCCATATTTTGCAATGCACAGTATAAAAGCATGTACAATTTAAATGTGAACTTATTATGCATTATTATTTTTTAAACATCCACACAAAACAGGATGAAACAGTCCTCCTGATTGAATGCCAGCAAAAATTAAACAAGATGGGTTTGGGCTAATCTGTCCATCCCTTCAGGAGAAGGCACTGAAGTCCCACCTTCCAGCTCTCAGAGACTCTAATAATTACAGGTATTAGATCAGCACAGCCTGTGTGTCCAAATGGCCTGGACTACTACTTGAAAGTGAAAAAATGTAGCACAATATGAACATGCTTGCACAAATGCACATACAGATTGTGAAGCTTCCCTAGTCTAGAGATTCAGGGACCATTCAGCTGTGAGTCCTCTAAGACCAAGTTCCCTGCTTCTCTGCTAGGGATGGTTTGTGAATCTGATATCAACAGATTTGATCTGACACCTCCCAGACTAATGTGCAGATCAGACCTTGGTTATCTGTCAGCTTTCACACTGTCTAAATGTTTCAATGAAATGATCTGCCTCTAAAAATAAAAAAAAGTATCAAAATGTGTTTCAAGAAGTTGTATGCAAGGAGATTCTTACTCAAAGGTGACCCACTGGTATTAATGGTTATGTCTAAAGTCCTTTGATTTCAATGAGTCTACTCAACGTAGTTGAATATATACAGTATATAAAAAACCAATAAACTCTAAAACTAAGCATAACGAGCAACCAACAAAATCCTTTAAAAACTAGTCTGTTATTCATGCTCCAAAAAAAGAGACATAGTTCAAAACTGAGACGTGAGTTGAGATGGCTTTTCAGGCCTGAGTACAAACTGCAGGGCTGCAAAAGATATGTTAGCATGTAAACATTATAAAATGTCCATTTATCAAGTGGGATTTGTGGACCACTCCTTTCTGAAAAAGAGGAAATGCTTACCGTCCTTGGAATAACAGGCTGTCAAAGAATAATATAGAAAGGCAATAGGAAGTGATGCCTTGGGGGAATCTTAAGAAAGAAGCTAATGGAGTGGGGGAAACCCAGCATTCAGTGGCTAGCACACAGCTCAGTGGTTGAACAAAGACTCCGCATGCAGAAAGTCCCAGGTTCTTTCTAGAGTCTCAGAACAGGCCAAGGGGCAGCTTGTCTGATCTACTTTATGTATTACTAGAACCCCAACATCTACCATCAAGAGCTTGGTGCAAAAAAAGGCGCTTGATTAGAGTGAAGGCACTCTGAGTCCTGAGTGCTGGAACTCAGTGGAGATCACAGTCCTTCCACACAGAAATCCACTCCTGCTACTGTTTAATGGTTGGGAGTCACAAACAATTCACTGGAACTGCAAATCACCCAGAGAACTATCAATAGATCCAGATCTACCTTCTGTGCATCCAGGCTATCCTTATGTCCTTACACTCTTATGAATGGTGTTAGTCTGTTATTCCTTTCCTAGCATCAGAGGAAGAGGCTAATAGGTCTATTTGCAGCAGTGCTCAGAACCCTGAACCAATGATGTACATTGCTGCTGCCACACTGCCATAAAAGAGAAGCCACATCACACAAGTAGCTACCTGGTTTTATTGCGTGTAGCGGAATTGGTGAAAGGTACAGGTAACATCAGTTCAAATGCAAAGCATTCTTCAACTAGCAAGCAATTAAGCTTGCCACAAGTCCAAATCTACCACAGTTTGGTTGAATTATGTGTATAGCTTAACCTCTTGCCACCTCTGGAAACAAGCCATTCTATAAATGAATTTTCCATGCCAGGCATTTAGGGCCCTCATAGAATTATCTCTTTAATTTGCACAGGCATTCGTCAGAATGCAGAGTGGGGGTGCGGGTGAGTGGAAGACAATCTTACATCACGGCAGCACTTGGCAAGAGACCAGGACCTGCACTGTGGCTTGGACTTCTCCAGATTTTCTTTGTGTTCCACTGAAAGGGGGCTCCATTCTTCTATCGGCAGGACTTCAAAAATGTTCATGGCTATCTAAGGTTTGTCCACTCATTCACCTCCCAGATGGTAGTGATAAGAGTATGTCACTGTATTAATATTGCAGTAGATCCCAGAAGTGGCAAGTCGACCAACAGGAGAATAGTAATGCACATCAACCCTTTTCTCCAGCTTCATGTAGCTGGGGAGATCTAGATCCGTAGCATCACATAATGTGTTGTCTGAGCCTGAATCTATTTTGTGACAGCATTATTAGCTGCACATTTCACTATATATGTTCTGTGACCTTCGACATGTGCTCTACTTATAGCTGTATGGTTGAGTCCAGTCCAAGTGGAGCAGACACAACAAGAGAGTTATGATGTGTGATGGTCTCTTTACACAAGTCTCTTTGTGACTTCTTGCTAGACCAGCAGAAATGTGGATCTTAGGAAACAGAGGACGAGGGCTGAGGGAGAGGGAGAGAAGGCTTCTATTGCAAACAGATTGGCAGAAGAAAGGAGTTAGCCTTATTAATCAAGGCCAGAACCTGAATGGTCAGAATTTTAAAATAGATTAATTGGATAGATAAAGTGATTAATGTTGCAGCCCTAATACTTTCTATGAAAGGATGATGGGAAGCTTTAAGAAGCCTTAAAGTACACACTGTCCTCCACCCAATCCCCAATAACCTCCATTTTGTTGTTGTTGATAAAAGCAATTCAAGTAATAAGGAAGTGTCACTTTCCCCCTTACCTACTTTATGAATCTGAATGTGTCAGAAAAGATAGAGAGTGGACTTGGGCTAATTATTTAGCCTGGCTAAATATTTTTGCACTGTATGCTTTTCTTCTAACATGGTGGTGGGCTAACTCATGACCCGTGCACCACATCTTGACCTGCCACTCCCAACAGCTTCGTCTCCCAATCTGAGAAAAGAACTCTTGCTTGGCCTTTAACCGCCTAGCTGTTCTTCCACCATTACTTCTTCCCCCCTCCCCTTTCTCTAAAACCAATCTTTGAGTCTTGTTGCAAGAAGATGTCCCATGTGCCTGTGCAAGAGATTGTCATGTAATAAAAGTAATATGCCAGCAACATATAATCAATAGTTTGATTCCTGCTGCAGTAAAATTATCTTGATAGACATTGGGATGATGCTGTCTTGATCCTGTTCTCAAATGGTCCAGCAAATCATTACAAAAGGAGGGAACAAACAATTGCTACCTATTTATATCTCCTTGCAGTAATGAGATAGAAGAAAGGAAGGGGGGTAAATATAACCTTCCTGTAGCATGTAGGATTTTCTGCCTAGTTAAAATTCTTATCACTTTTATATTGGTTTGTAAAAGAATGCAAACAGTGCACAGTGCTGGGGTATGGAGCAGAGAACTAAGCTGTAAATGTACTGGAGGCAGAAAACCAAACTGTTATGTATGGCACCTATTAGTGGACCAGCTGCATTGGCAGAATAGTAAATATTCAAGTTACACAGAACATTGTTTTCAGCCAAGGAACATCCCCGCCTGATTCGTACATGAAAAAAGAGTTTTATGCAACTTGAAAGCTAGTTATCCTCACTGACCTGCAAAATGGCAGGTTTAGGCAACGTTGGATTTTCTTCTACTCCCTTGGCCAAACAAGTTGGACAAATCTGTCAATTTTAGCTTGCCTAGCTTTTGCAATCTTAAATTCAGTTTACCACATTCTGCAACATTTCCCCCCCCCAAAAAAAAATTCTTCAGCATTTTATTTTTATATGCTATTTTGACTAATAAGACACATTATTGCAATGAATTTTCCTCAAATACAATTCTTGGAATATATTTTTTACTAATATATGCATTTATATGCACACTTAATGCCAGAATATGCACTTTTGCCCCCACTACTTGGCTAGAGAACTTCATTGCAAAATTCAGAGAAGTTAAAAATTTTGAAAGATAGCTGTGTTTCAGTTAGAAGAAGAAGAAGAAGAAGAAGAGGAGGAGTTTGGATTTGATATCCTGCCTTTCACTCCCCTTCAGGAGTCTCAAAGCGGCTAACATTCTACTTTCCCTTCCTCCCCCACAACAAACACTCTGTGAGGTGAGTGGGGCTGAGAGATGTCAAAGAAGTGTGACTGGCCCAAGGTCACCCAGCAGCTGCATGTGGAGGAGCGGAGACGCGAACCCGGTTCCCCACATTACGAGACGACCGCTCTTAACCACTACACCACACTGGCTCTTAATAAATTGTTTTGAAAAGTGTGAATTTGGTAAGTATGTGTCAGGGAACTGCCATCAGTGCCGGAGGGAGAGAGCAAGATCCAGAGGGATTCCAGAGAGCGTCCCGGGATTGGGAGAGGCAGCCCATCTTCAGGGGAAGAGAATCAGCGTAGCACCAGTGGAGAAGGGGGGCAGATGGGGGAAGCGACGAGGCGGTCCCATGACTCCTTGCCGGGGACCAGCGGGGAGAGTAGGGGTCCTCTGCTGCCTACGCCCTCCTTCCGCAGAAGGCTTTCGCGCAGAGAAAGTAGGAGGAGACTAGGCGTCAAAGAGCTTCTTTGCTGGAAGAAGTTTAAGAAACGCCCACTGACGGATTCTGCCAGCGATTGAGACAGCCACGGGTGAGTGGCTGTCTGGACAGAAAAGGTTCACTCAGGTAACCCAGCCAGGTGTTTGCACCGGCTTACGCACGAGCAACCCCTAGAACCACTAC